TCATGATTGGCCAAAATTCATGAATGAACTAGAAAACGCCGCCCGGGTCAAATGCGATCAATAATCCGCTAAAGCCATAAATGCCAGTGAATGTCAGTGGTTGAAAATGTTTTCAGACTGTTAATAATAAATAGCAAACAGGCCAAGATATAATATACGCAAAGCAGCGTTAAGTCACGCGAATAGCTGGAAATCAATGTCGACAAAATTATGTAAGCTTACGGCTCGGTGTTAGAAGATAGCATTGAAGACGACGCGTGAGCCTGTCCTTGGTTTATCACCACATTACAATTGTGGATGCTATATACATGGCCTCTGCTAACCACTGCACTTGACTGAATATGCGGCTGAAGAGGAACTCGGCTGGTTGTCTGGTTGAACTGGATTTCTTTGCCATCAATGATGGCAGGTAACTCTTAAAAAGTGTGACAGTGCATCGTGAGTCGCCAGTTGCGAACATGTTAGGTAGTACAGACCTTGGTTGAAGTCATAATCCTCCTTGCAATGTTTTTGTGGGGCCTTCTGCGAATGTTTTGAACTCGTCATTGTCGTCTTTACTAAGCGTGAAATCCTCCACATTCATTGTGTAGTGTTCTTGGCAGCCACGTAAACCAAGATGCTGTGACAGGAGCCACCACATTGTGTAAAGGAGGGACCTTGGAGATGAATTTCCAAGCTGTCCGCATTCCCACAGCACTTCTTCTTCTTCTCTTGTTAGGCTTTGTGACTTATTTGGCAATTTTCCTTTACCTTCGTTTTACAGCTTACACGCCTTTCCCTCTAGCACTTTTCGAGAACTCAAAAATTCTCTGTCCTTTATAATTGGCAAAGAATAGCCTTTCTCTTTCAGGTGGTGGTCAAGTGCTACTTGCATTGCTTTTAAGGAGCCAGGTTCGTAGTCGGTTCCGTCTTGGTTACCGCTCAAGAACTTCATCCAGCTGTTTAGGAGGAAGCTTCTCAGGGCCTTTGTTGAGGGCATTTTCGTCACACCAGTTCTCAAAAACTCTCAACTGGTTAACTGTGCTTTTACGGAAACGTCTTTTAATGCCGCAATATCAGAATCTGTAACATCTTCAAACCTGGACGCCATTTTGGCTGCGTTGGAACGGTTGCCATGGCAATTTTGTAATTTCACATGTGAAATTATAAATTAATCCTAAAATCTCGCCCCAAAATTAAGGAGTAATTTGTCACTCATGATATTAAATGTGTAATAGGTTATGGCCCTAAATGTAATGGAAGCCTTAACAGTATACATGTATGTAGTATAACGGCCCCAAACTTGATAAAGTCACTGACTGAAACATGTGATGGTCTGATACGATATTATTATTATAGCAAGCTGGCGATTCACTTTCCTCGCCCTATTGTAGTCTTCATAGAACTAACTATTAAAACGTATTTACAATAAAATCACTATTCAGTCAAAGGACATTTTACAATTCATTTCGATTAAACATTCTTTTCAGTTATTAATGACAATAAAAATAACGATAATAATCATAATGTCAATATTAATAATAAGTTGTTACTCAAATGGCTATATAGGGGATCTGCCTGGAGTATTAAGTGTTTGATATTCCCTAGACAGATTCTGGCGCTCAGTTAACCTGTAATAAGGCTAAAAGCAAACACTATGAAATCTTCTTATGAACCTAAACATACAAAGAGCTGAAGGAATTACACTTGGGACCTTTATTACATTTAGGGCCAAAAGTTATTACACTTAGGGCCTTTATTACATTTATGGTCATTTATTACATTTGAGGCCTCAACAAAACCAGCTTGGTCAGGAGTGGGAAAGAAATGATGAGGAATTGCGTGGCTGTACAGCTTTGAAGAGTGTCCCCAAGTAGATGGACATGAGCATCTCCTCTTGTCCTCTCTTCAAATTTTATCAAAATGGCGCTGACAAACCATTTCTTTAGGCTGCAGACCACCAGCTCTACATACTTGAGGGTTTGCTTTTCTTAAAATACCGTTACAGCCATCTGAAAGCCGCCTGGTTTTGGCATTTGAACACAGCGGTTTCTTCAAAACAAAATTTGTATGTTGCAAAAACCAACTCCCGCCGATAGTCTTACGCAAGACAACAGTTTCGCCTGCTGTGCAAACTCAGTTTAACTCTGGCACAATATAAAATATGGAATATGAATAATAGAAACTAGTATTTTTTATTTTTTTTATTTTTATTTTTTTAAAAACGCATTTTCGTTGCGTCATTACTCACAAAGCTAAAATCTAATGATAAAATCCGAAGAACTCCTAAAAGACCAATATCTAGTGTATTAATTCACAAAATATTAAGTACACAGGCATAAACATGACTTTCTTTAGGCATTTGTGAAAATGGCATATAAAAAGAAGTGACAAAAATGTCTGAAAAAAGGTAAGTTTCTACATCGTTGAAAAGTATTTTTCCTTTCATTTGAAACCAAGATCTTTAAATATGTCTTAAAACAATATTCAAACAAACTTTTGTTGAAATCTAACACAAACC